AATCAGTAGACAGTGTGTAGGGCCGGTCAAACAAGCTTAAAATATCAAAAAGAGTGCTCGCCATAACTTTAACAACTGTGTAACTACAAACTGAATGCCATCTGCAGTTACCAAGAGTCAAGAGAGCTCAAGATAACGAAGCACGAAGGGACATTGAATATATATATAATATATATATATTTTACGTTGAGTAAAAGATCAAATTCATAACATCAATATTAGTGGTATAGTTTCAAAACAAAAAACAGGGCAAAATTTCTTTCGGGAACACAATAGAATTACACGTAAAATTCCGGCCTAAAATTTCAAGAATTATTACTCAAAATAGCTTGAGCAATTATGGAAATGGAAATCAGTTGAAATAAACAATGGAGCGTGTATGGTGTATACTGTATAAACATCAACTCTAGACTTTAAGTCGCCACTAATTGTTGCAACCATGGTAACACGTCACGTGTTCAATGTCAGCCAATCATATTGCACTGCGTGGTATAGGGACTGAGGCCGATAAGTGATATAGTGCATTCCTTGAGCCGTGGGAACCATTAAGATGTAGTGTCAGTGACATAAATATGGTGACTGTACGTGTCTTGTAATAGTTAAAGTTTAATAGTTTAGGCCCCAAAAATTTGTTTGAAAGTGAAAGTGCTCCGGGCTGTATTGTTACTTGTCACGTTAACTGTCGTCTGCTCGCGTGCTGTATTTTAAGCGGGCTGGACGCGCACTGTGTCTTGTTACATCGGGCTGCGAGAGGTCAGAAGACAAAATATAGCCCGCTGAAGACAAAATATAGCCCGCTGCTAGAGCAATTATATTTATATCCACCATGGTGGATATAAATATAATTGCTCTCGGAATTGAACAAACTCCTACTTATCTAGATCCTTTCTAAATTCGTTAGAGTTTCATGGACTGGGAAAAAATAATCGGTACAGTCTCCCTGCTTGTGTAATTAAGCAATGAAAACAATCCAAAATTATCACATTATATGACATAAGTTGTAATAGCAGAAACTTTCTAACCGTACATTCACCCGCCACTGTTCAAGAAATTATGTCACTGTTTAAAATCATGACGTGAGCACTGTACATACAATCAGCTATTCCTTTAGTTAGGATGATAGCCAAAACTATAAGGATTTTGGAGAACTAGGGTAATAGTCATAATTCTAAAATTTGAGTGAGTTACACGTGTTTTATTGACGATGATAAACATTTGCAATGTATTACGCTATGCAAGCGCGCACTGTGACTGAGGGACTTTATGACGTCACGACGCCACAGCTTATTATTGCAATAACACGCGTTACACGTACGCTAGAGAATTGGTTCTTTCGGCGATACGATTCTTTACCAGTTTGTCACAGCTGATTTAAATCTTAGCCAAATTGGAGACTACAAATTTTTCAGTTAACTGGTCCTTTAAGAGCCATGAGTATAAATGGGAAACTTCTCGAAAAAAATGAAACATTTTGTCAAACACTGTGGATTACAGAATCCCACGAGCTTAAGATGGATAGGTACAGCAACCTTCAGACAGTTTCGCTGTGGAAGTGGGAGCTAGTGGGATAGTTGGTCGTAGTTGGGAGGGAGCTGCTAGGAGGATAGGGTTTGGAGGAAGGGAGTTGAAGATGTTGGTTAGGGAGAGTGGTAGAGAAGCGGCCCACTGCTCCAGTTGGATTTATTTGCTGTCGAGGAAGATGGAATGGGAGTTTAGGAAGGTAGGAACTTAGGGAACACTAACAGCTAGAAGAACCATAACGTTATCTCGTCGTCAATTGCGAGGCCTAACAGGTTACTTCAAGTGTTTGCCTAGTCGGAAAGTGGTCTAAGATCAGACTCGACTGCTGGGGCGCCTGGTACAGAACCGTCCTGCGATTAAAGCCCCGAAACGGGTACCAGGTTTGTGGCTGATGATTCCGATGAAAGTTCCGGTGAGGGAGAGATGTTTTGGTGAGAGAGTAGCTGGTTTGGGAGTTTGATTGGTGTGGTGTTTGGTTGGTTGTTGTGTGATTACTAGTGTGGTTCGTTTGTTCGCAGTTATAACTGTGTTTCACCCCAGAGCCATGAGTAATGGGAAACTTCTCCAAAAAAATGAAACATTTTGTCAAACACTGTCACTTATAAAGATAAGTTTACAAGTTTTCAGTATAATTGAACCGAACATTTTATTTTGATATTTTCGTGAATATTTGAAATAACTTTTTGAAATTCATAGCTTTCTAAATTATATTGAAATAACGTGTGTTATTATCCTCATGAGTTGAGGTTGGTATCGATTGATTAAAAGACTAAATTGATTCTTCCCGTCTTCTCTTTTGAGAAGATGACAAGCAGCGTCATTTAATTGATGGTAAAATTGGTGCATATAATCAGATATAAATCCCTGTAGCAATCATTTTTCCAGTAGCAATCATTTTATCTCCAGTAGCAATCATTTTATCTAGCTTATGCAACGGTTTAAATCGTCTCTTATCAGCTGTTTTATCAACTTTAACACAGCACCGTGCTGTACAGCCCGTTTGTTGTACAATTGACAATGGAATTCAACGTAGCAGATCTACACACACAAGAGGAAGCTTTGCATTCATCAGTGGAAAAAGTTTTAAAAGCTGTCAATACTGCAAATACTGCGAAGAACGCTGTCAATATTGAAAAATTTGAGGAACTGAATCATGCAGCACTCATGAAATGTAACAAGGACACGATGGCAAAACTCATTGAGAACTTAACCAAATCACTGATCAGTAACATTGTTTTATGCAAATCTGCAGCCGGTACCATCGATTATGTTAAGTCAGAACTGATAAAAGTGCAGAGAGAGCAGCTAAAATCTGTGCAGGAGACTGTTCAAACTGAGATTAAAACGGAGATGAAGACATGGAGCGAAATTGCCAGGAAAAACTGCGACAATAAAGCTCCAACTTTGAAGACAGTGAAGAAAGCAGTACAGTCTGCTGTTCAAGACGACGCTCGGAGCAGGAACTTCATCGTCCACGGAGTTCCGGAGGATTACTCCACGTGCCCCGCTGATTTAGCAGATGAAGTACTGGACAAGATTTTGCAACACAATAACCACTCTGATATTGTAGCTGCTAATCGTATCGGTGTGAAGAAACGGGAGGATGGTAGGCCGAGGCCAATCAAAGTGACTATGAATAGTAACGAATCAGTGAAAGAGGCTCTCTCGAGAGCAAATCATTTGAAAAAGTCCCTCTGTACAACCTACCACAGCTGGTTCGTTGCTCCAGATAGAAACCGAGAGGAACAAGCAACACATAAAAAACTTGTAGCTCAATTAAAGGAGAAAATATCTGCTGAACCGTCGAAGTATCACTATATTAACGACGGAAAAGTTTTGAGTGTAGTGAATGCATATAAGAGATAATTAACTCGATTAATCTGTTATCTTCTTTGTTGATTTGTGTGCAATTGGGCTGAGTTTAAGAGTTTAGAATAAAGTGCGTGATTTCGCTGAATTTCAAATTTGGTATAGCAACTCGAAGTGCAGACTTTTTGAGATCTGATGAAGTATGGCCAACGGGATTGTTACTCATATAATTTCCCGTGATGATTTTTGGACCATACATTGCTGAATAGCAATCGTGAAGGAAGTCTCACCAGTAGGTTTTATTTAACTAGGCTAAGTTTTCATACGCATATTCTATAGACTATACATTTACTTACTATGATTTATTAAAGGTTAATTTCTGCCCGATGGGAGTGAGATATTGTTTGGTGTGTGAATTTTTTGATTTTATAAGTTGACTTGAAATCCCTTAAGGGTACCGGCAAAAAAAAAGCTGGTTTCACAACAACATAAACTTCGGTGCGCAGTCATTTTACTTCTTTCTCCTTGGCCTTAACGAGATTCTTGTATTGTCAAGTCAAGAGTGTTAGCCGTCAGGGCTCCCGTTGACCAATTTACGTTTAATCCGTTAAATTGGACAACAGGAGTCCTAACGGAGCCCTAAACTTTCGGCCCTGGTGTTACTGATCGCAATATAGCGGCGTGGATGTGGATTTAGGCAACGATGGGAAATTGGATAGTGTTTGCTCTCTGGTAGGTTTGACGGTCGTGACCATCAATTTCTATAATTTCCACCTGTGGACGTCAGAGCTTGATACAATATAGATAGTATCGTGTGCATATGCTTAGGGTTATGTTCGTATCATTGGAACCCTCTCTGGAGTGTATCTGTAAACAGGGGAGATGTAGGTCTAGACCTAGTGTTCTGTGTTCTTTCATATTTGTGGAGACTGGAGATGAGACGATGGTGCTAACTGCTCAAGATGTAGAGGAACGGAGAAAGGGCTAAACGAACCATGGATTTAACGTTGAAGAAACGCAGATGACTTATACTTACAATCAGACTTTTTTAAATAGTTATTTTTCTTATGGCTTATGAATAGAACTTCGATCTTAATTTCGCTTTTAGTTTATAAACTTTTTCTTTAATGTATAACAGTATTAGTTGTAGTAGTCATTTTAAAATTCTAATAAAACTGTTTTTCTTTTAACTTCAAAAATATCAATAGCTATAAAAACAGTTATATATAAATCTGATTTATTTTTATTGTTACCCTTACTCACTGACCAATAGACTCCGACTTCCACCTGTCCACCTACCTCCCAACTCCCATTCTCTTTAACTAATTCAGTTCGAATATTCCAAAATACCCTTTCTATTTTAATGAATTTCCGTTTATGAAAGCTTTCTTTGATAATACTAATATTGCTTTTGTAGCTCGGTTTAAAAGTTGAAAGGGGAATTTTGAGTGGAGGCTCTGGGCTTATACTTTGCGTTTACTTGAGCGATAAATGTAGAGATTGAATGAAGACTGTGGATATATGTGACTAGAAAGACACTTCTTTGTGCTCCAAATGGACTACTGATTGTGTTTCATAATCACGTTCCTTTATACGGAAAGCGCCTGAATTGACAAAAGCACGAGATGACAATCTCTCTGCTTGTTTTCCCAAATATAGCAGAGGGATATAAAATATCAAACACATGTGGAGAGTATACATATTGGAGACAGATATTAATTTTAATAATACCCCCTTAAAAACCAACAATCGTTAATATTAAAAAACTGTAAAAATATAAAACTAATTATTTATTATTATTTATTAAATCATACTTCTAGTTTCGGGATAGCCTGTAGCAGGCAACGCCCGATATCTACTGACTTACACAAGTGCAAGTAAGCATGTAAATATTATGCCAGGCATGTGGCACCCATTGCGGTAACCATCTATTAAAGTTTTTGATTTTCGCTGTATTACATTGCACAGCCCCCCATTCCTAAAACACGATTTATCGAGCATTTGGCTGAGTGGACCGGGAGGCTGCATAAATTCTATGGGATCCTTATGCAGAACGTCGACAACGCTCACCCCACGACCAGGCAGACAGTGGTATTCGAACTCGCAACCTCACGATTGCAAAGCTGGTGCTCTAACCAACTGCGCTACCTGGCCATTAAAAATATAAAACTAAGGTACATGGAATTGGATCACTTCACAGTTCCTATCACCACTAAAAAAACGTTCGCTCAGGAAATGCCAAGCTGCAAAGAGAGGCATGGGAAGAACTGGTAGCATGACCATCACAGCACCCAGAATCTGGGACCACCAAGTGAAGGGCACGTCCTTGGTCCAGTCTTTAGAACCGGTGGGGTTTAGGGGGTCGCACCCCACGTATGTGGTGTACTGCGGTGGGTTCAGACACGTTTTCACAAGACTCGCTATCAGAATTATTGTCTGAAATTGAGCATTTGTCAATGGAGTAATTTTCGATGAATTAATTGGCAACGAATTAATTGTCAACGAAGTTTAAGTGGAAACCATTGAGTTGTTTTGACTTACAATGACTGCAGGTGATACGAACTTCCAGCAGATTTTCCAGTAGACGTGCGGCTGGGACCCCGTCATATACTCTATATCATCACAGATTTTATCCAATCCGTAGAACCACCCTATAGCTATACACTCCGCTACACCTGTGTGGATGGGAATTGTAACTATAGTAACTTGGTAACCTGGATGAGAATTGAGAAGGAAAATGTATTACTAAGCTTAAAATTAAATGAGCTTACAATGCAGTAACATATTTTCGTGGTCACACTAGTAATTATAATGAAAAAAGTAAATAAAACACCTATAAAGAGGAGAGGGAGAGCCACGGAGAAGGTATCCCACAAAACAAAGACATACAGTCCCGACTGGGTACACATGGGTAGTCCAACTAGACAAAGAAATAGACACACCAGTAGACACAGAATCTGAAGTTAAAGAGTGAGTTCACTACAATTATTATTTCGAGTATTGTTGTCGAAAGACGGTTTATCGGGTGTCAATTGTGCAGATTATTCCACAAATTTTACTGTGGAGATGTTAATTTGCTTGCCTTCCGCGGTGCTCAATCAATCTAATAATTCTCGCTGCTCAATTTGAATACCTTTATAATATCAATGTACATTGTACAATGTACGCTATACATACCTCTTTTCTAACTTGACGGAAGAAAGGGTAATCCTGTAAAGGTCCAACACAAGCCTCAATGACCCCAAACTCCGAGTCTATAGCAAGGAGAATCATCATAAAGAAGAAGGCAGCTGCCCACATCTGAGATAACGGCATCTCTGCTACTGCTGTAGGGTAGGCGATGAAAGCGAGACCTGGACCCCCCGTCATGTCCTCGACTGGGATTCCTAATTTTGCCTGCAGGAACAAAGTTGAATTTTTTGTGTGATCAGAAAGGTGGTTAAATTTCAAAGCATAACTTTTTGTAAGCTTCATTTTGCATAATTTTTGAAAAATTCTGTTTTGCCAAGATCGAGAATTTTTAAATTATTTTCAAAAGCTATGCAATTTATGAAATTAAAAGTGGTGGACGTATAGAAAAACGAAACTGCTTACCTCTCTAAACCCGAGGACAGAGTACACCACTATGCCAGCAAAAACAGAAGTCCCACAGTTGACTAAGGAAATGATCAGGGCATCTCGCGAGCAGTTGTTCTTTACCGGGTTGTAGGACCCGAAACAGATTATAGCTCCAAATCCTACACCAATACTGAGGGTGTGACATTTAGGAGATTTAAAGACCAGATCCTACACCAATACTGAGGGTGTGACATTTAGGAGATTTAAAGACCAGATCCTGCACCAATACTGAGGGTGTGACATTTAGGAGATTTAAAGACCAGATCCTACACCAATACTGAGGGTGTGACATTTAGGAGATTTAAAGACCAGATCCTACACCAATACTGAGGGTGTGACATTTAGGAGATTTAAACACCAGATCCTACACCAATACTGAGGGTGTGACATTTAGGAGATTTAAAGACCAGATCCTGCACCAATACTGAGGGTGTGACATTTAGGAGATTTAAAGACCAGATCCTGCACCAATACTGAGGGTGTGACATTTAGGAGATTTAAACACCAGATCCTGCACCAATACTGAGGGTGTGACATTTAGGAGATTTAAAGACCAGATCCTGCACCAATACTGAGGGTGTGACATTTAGGAGATTTAAAGACCAGATCCTGCACCAATACTGAGGGTGTGACATTTAGGAGATTTAAAGACCAGATCCTACACCAATACTGAGGGTGTGACATTTAGGAGATTTAAAGACCAGATCCTGCACCAATACTGAGGGTGTGACATTTAGGAGATTTAAAGACCAGATCCTGCACCAATACTGAGGGTGTGACATTTAGGAGATTTAAAGACCAGATCCTGCACCAATACTGAGGGTGTGACATTTAGGAGATTTAAAGACCAGATCCTGCACCAATACTGAGGGTCAAGGTTGTTTAATACGTATTTGGAGGGACTACGTATTGGAATACGAATACGTATTAATCCTCGAAAATTGACGTATTACGACGTATTCTTTATTCAAAAAATTCAAAAATTCAAATATGTTGAGGGGACTGAACTTTAGAAAATGGTCTTAAACTTTGATAATTGCGAGATCGTTTTAGGAGCAGCCTCTAATCCCTAATTAGTAATTACTGACGGCTAACAAACTGAAAAATTAATTCCCAGACCGGAGTAGTGCACTGTGAAGCTGACTGATCTTGACGAACTTCTCGCTCTCTGAACATCAAAATCATTAAAATTAAATATGTATTAATATGTAATTGATAATTTCGCAAAAATTGTTAGCTTATCGGATTATCCATGAAATTTGATTACAAATTTAAGTTATCATGTATAACTGCACTCCTTTAATGCATGATCAATGATGAGGGTGGCGCGCAGCTGTAATGTTTAATTTTGACAAATCAGCGTATTACGGCGTATTATGGCGTATTCTTGGACGTATTTAACAATCCATAGAAATTACCGTATTCCGGCGTATTACGACGTATTCTTTATTAGAACCGAATACGTCGTATTCTTTCACGAAAATTTGACGTATTTAACAACCTTGCTGAGGGTGTGACATTTAGGAGATTTAAAGACCAGATCCTGCACCAATACTGAGGGTGTGACATTTAGGAGATTTAAAGACCAGATCCTGCACCAATACTGAGGGTGTGACATTTAGGAGATTTAAAGACCAGATCCTGCACCAATACTGAGGGTGTGACATTTAGGAGATTTAAAGACCAGATCCTGCACAAATATTGAGGGTGTGACATTTAGGAGATTTAAAGACCAGATCCTGCACCAATACTGAGGGTGTGACATTTAGGAGATTTAAAGACCAGATCCTGCACCAATACTGAGGGTGTGACATTTAGGAGATTTAAAGACCAGATCCTGCACCAATACTGAGGGTGTGACATTTAGGAGATTTAAAGACCAGATCCTGCACCAATACTGAGGGTGTGACATTTAGGAGATTTAAAGACCAGATCCTGCACCAATACTGAGGGTGTGACATTTAGGAGATTTAAAGACCAGATCCTGCACCAATACTGAGGGTGTGACATTTAGGAGATTTAAAGACCAGATCCTGCACCAATACTGAGGGTGTGACATTTAGGAGATTTAAAGACCAGATCCTGCACCAATACTGAGGGTGTGACATTTAGGAGATTTAAAGACCTGATCCTGCACCAATACTGAGGGTGTGACATTTAGGAGATTTAAAGACCAGATCCTGCACCAATACTGAGGGTGTGACATTTAGGAGATTTAAAGACCAGATCCTGCACCAATACTGAGGGTGTGACATTTAGGAGATTTAAAGACCAGATCCTGCACCAATACTGAGGGTGTGACATTTAGGAGATTTAAAGACCAGATCCTGCACCAATACTGAGGGTGTGATATTTAGGAGATTTAAAGACCAGATCCTGCACCAATACTGAGGGTGTGACATTTAGGAGATTTAAAGACCAGATCCTGCACCAATACTGAGGGTGTGACATTTAGGAGATTTAAAGACCAGATCCTGCACCAATACTGAGGGTGTGACATTTAGGAGATTTAAAGACCAGATCCTGCACCAATACTGAGGGTGTGACATTTAGGAGATTTAAAGACCAGATCCTGCACCAATACTGAGGGTGTGACATTTAAGAGATTTAAAGACCAGATCCTGCACCAATACTGAGGGTGTGACATTTAGGAGATTTAAAGACCAGATCCTGCACCAATACTGAGGGTGTGACATTTAGGAGATTTAAAGACCAGATCCTGCACCAATACTGAGGGTGTGACATTTAGGAGATTTAAAGACCAGATCCTGCACCAATACTGAGGGTGTGACATTTAGGAGATTTAAAGACCAGATCCTGCACCAATACTGAGGGTGTGACATTTAGAAGATTTAAAGACCAGATCCTGCACCAATACTGAGGGTGTGACATTTAGGAGATTTAAAGACCAGATCCTGCACCAATACTGAGGGTGTGACATTTAGGAGATTTAAAGACCAGATCCTACACCAATACTGAGGGTGTGACATTTAGGAGATTTAAAGACCAGATCCTGCACCAATACTGAGGGTGTGACATTTAGGAGATTTAAAGACCAGATCCTGCACCAATACTGAGGGTGTGACATTTAGGAGATTCAAAGACCAGATCCTACACCAATACTAGGGTGTGACATTTAGGAGATTCAAAGACCAGATCCTGCACCAATACTGAGGGTGTGACATTTAGGAGATTTAAAGACCAGATCCTGCACCAATACTGAGGGTGTGACATTTAGGAGATTTAAAGACCAGATCCTGCACCAATACTGAGGGTGTGACATTTAGGAGATTTAAAGACCAGATCCTACACCAATACTGAGGGTGTGACATTTAGGAGATTTAAAGACCAGATCCTGCACCAATACTGAGGGTGTGACATTTAGGAGATAAATCCTACACCAATACTGAGGGTGTGACATTTAGGAGATTTAAAGACCAGATCCTGCACCAATACTGAGGGTGTGACATTTAGGAGATTTAAAGACCAGATCCTACACCAATACTGAGGGTGTGACATTTAGGAGATTTAAAGACCAGATCCTGCACCAATACTGAGGGTGTGACATTTAGGAGATAAATCCTACACCAATACTGAGGGTGTGACATTTAGGAGATTTAAAGACCAGATCCTACACCAATACTGAGGGTGTGACATTTATGAGATTCAAAGACCAGATCCTGCACCAATACTGAGGGTGTGACATTTAGGAGATTCAAAGACCAGATCCTGCACCAATACTGAGGGTGTGACATTTAGGAGATTTAAAGACCAGATCCTACACCAATACTGAGGGTGTGACATTTAGGAGATTCAAAGACCAGATCCTGCACCAATACTGAGGGTGTGACATTTAGGAGATTCAAAGACCAGATCCTGCACCAATACTGAGGGTGTGACATTTAGGAGATTCAAAGACCAGATCCTGCACCAATACTGAGGGTGTGACATTTAGGAGATTCAAAGACCAGATCCTGCACCAATACTGAGGGTGTGACATTTAGGAGATTTAAAGACCAGATCCTGCACCAATACTGAGGGTGTGACATTTAGGAGATTTAAAGACCAGATCCTACACCAATACTGAGGGTGTGACATTTAGGAGATTTAAAGACCAGATCCTGCACCAATACTGAGGGTGTGACATTTAGGAGATTTAAAGACCAGATCCTGCACCAATACTGAGGGTGTGACATTTAGGAGATTTAAAGACCAGATCCTGCACCAATACTGAGGGTGTGACATTTAGGAGATTTAAAGACCAGATCCTGCACCAATACTGAGGGTGTGACATTTAGGAGATTTAAAGACCAGATCCTGCACCAATACTGAGGGTGTGACATTTAGGAGATTCAAAGACCAGATCCTGCACCAATACTGAGGGTGTGACATTTAGGAGAATTAAAGACCAGATCCTGCACCAATACTGAGGGTGTGACATTTAGGAGATTTAAAGACCAGATCCTACACCAATACTGAGGGTGTGACATTTAGGAGATTTAAAGACCAGATCCTGCACCAATACTGAGGGTGTGACATTTAGGAGATTTAAACACCAGATCCTGCACCAATACTGAGGGTGTGACATTTAGGAGATTTAAAGACCAGATCCTGCACCAATACTGAGGGTGTGACATTTAGGAGATTTAAAGACCAGATCCTGCACCAATACTGAGGGTGTGACATTTAGGAGATTCAAAGACCAGATCCTACACCAATACTGAGGGTGTGACATTTAGGAGATTCAAAGACCAGATCCTGCACCAATACTGAGGGTGTGACATTTAGGAGATTTAAAGACCAGATCCTACACCAATACTGAGGGTGTGACATTTAGGAGATTCAAAAACCAGATCCTGCACCAATACTGAGGGTGTGACATTTAAGAGATTTAGAGACCAGATCCTGCACCAATACTGAGGGTGTGACATTTAAGAGATTTAAAGACCAGATCCTGCACCAATACTGAGGGTGTGACATTTAGGAGATTTAAAGACCAGATCCTGCACCAATACTGAGGGTGTGACATTTAGGAGATTCAAAGACCAGATCCTGCACCAATACTGAGGGTGTGACATTTAGGAGATTTAAAGACCAGATCCTGCACCAATACTGAGGGTGTGACATTTAGGAGATTTAAACACCAGATCCTGCACCAATACTGAGGGTGTGACATTTAGGAGATTTAAAGACCAGATCCTGCACCAATACTGAGGGTGTGACATTTAGGAGATTTAAAGACCAGATCCTGCACCAATACTGAGGGTGTGACATTTAGGAGATTTAAACACCAGATCCTGCACCAATACTGAGGGTGTGACATTTAGGAGATTTAAACACCAGATCCTGCACCAATACTGAGGGTGTGACATTTAGGAGATTTAAAGACCAGATCCTGCACCAATACTGAGGGTGTGACATTTAGGAGATTTAAACACCAGATCCTACACCAATACTGAGGGTGTGACATTTAGGAGATTTAAAGACCAGATCCTACACCAATACTGAGGGTGTGACATTTAGGAGATTTAAAGACCAGATCCTGCACCAATACTGAGGGTGTGACATTTAGGAGATTTAAAGACCAGATCCTACACCAATACTGAGGGTGTGACATTTAGGAGATTTAAAGACCAGATCCTGCACCAATACTGAGGGTGTGACATTTAGGAGATTTAAAGACCAGATCCTGCACCAATACTGAGGGTGTGACATTTAGGAGATTTAAACACCAGATCCTGCACCAATACTGAGGGTGTGACATTTAGGAGATTTAAAGACCAGATCCTGCACCAATACTGAGGGTGTGACATTTAGGAGATTTAAAGACCAGATCCTGCACCAATACTGAGGGTGTGACATTTAGGAGATTTAAAGACCAGATCCTACACCAATACTGAGGGTGTGACATTTAGGAGATTTAAAGACCAAATCCTGCACCAATACTGAGGGTGTGACATTTAGGAGAATTAAAGACCAGATCCTGCACCAATACTGAGGGTGTGACATTTAGGAGATTTAAAGACCAGATCCTGCACCAATACTGAGGGTGTGACATTTAGGAGATTTAAAGACCAGATCCTGCACCAATACTGAGGGTGTGACATTTAGGAGATTTAAAGACCAGATCCTGCACCAATACTGAGGGTGTGACATTTAGGAGATTTAAAGACCAGATCCTGCACCAATACTGAGGGTGTGACATTTAGGAGATTTAAAGACCAGATCCTGCACCAATACTGAGGGTGTGACATTTAGGAGATTTAAAGACCAGATCCTGCACCAATACTGAGGGTGTGACATTTAGGAGATTTAAAGACCAGATCCTGCACCAATACTGAGGGTGTGACATTTAGGAGATTTAAAGACCAGATCCTGCACCAATACTGAGGGTGTGACATTTAGGAGATTTAAAGACCAGATCCTGCACCAATACTGAGGGTGTGACATTTAGGAGATTTAAAGACCAGATCCTGCACCAATACTGAGGGTGTGACATTTAGGAGATTCAAAGACCAGATCCTGCACCAATACTGAGGGTGTGACATTTAGGAGATTTAAAGACCAGATCCTGCACCAATACTGAGGGTGTGACATTTAGGAGATTTAAAGACCAGATCCTGCACCAATACTGAGGGTGTGACATTTAGGAGATTTAAAGACCAGATCCTGCACCAATACTGAGGGTGTGACATTTAGGAGATTTAAAGACCAGATCCTGCACCAATACTGAGGGTGTGACATTTAGGAGATTTAAAGACCAGATCCTACACCAATACTGAGGGTGTGACATTTAGGAGATTTAAAGACCAGATCCTACACCAATACTGAGGGTGTGACATTTAGGAGATTTAAAGACCAGATCCTGCACCAATACTGAGGGTGTGACATTTAGGAGATTTAAAGACCAGATCCTGCACCAATACTGAGGGTGTGACATTTAGGAGATTTAAACACCAGATCCTGCACCAATACTGAGGGTGTGACATTTAGGAGATTTAAAGACCAGATCCTGCACCAATACTGAGGGTGTGACATTTAGGAGATTTAAAGACCAGATCCTGCACCAATACTGAGGGTGTGACATTTAGGAGATTTAAAGATCAGATCCTGCACCAATACTGAGGGTGTGACATTTAGGAGATTTAAAGACCAGATCCTACACCAATACTGAGGGTGTGACATTTAGGAGATTTAAAGACCAGATCCTACACCAATACTGAGGGTGTGACATTTAGGAGATTTAAAGACCAGATCCTGCACCAATACTGAGGGTGTGACATTTAGGAGATTTAAAGACCAGATCCTGCACCAATACTGAGGGTGTGACATTTAGGAGATTTAAAGACCAGATCCTGCACCAATACTGAGGGTGTGACATTTAGGAGATTTAAAGACCTGATCCTGCACCAATACTGAGGGTGTGACATTTAGGAGATTTAAAGACCAGATCCTGCACCAATACTGAGGGTGTGACATTTAGGAGATTTAAAGACCAGATCCTGCACCAATACTGAGGGTGTGACATTTAGGAGATTTAAAGACCAGATCCTGCACCAATACTGAGGGTGTGACATTTAGGAGATTTAAAGACCAGATCCTGCACCAATACTGAGGGTGTGACATTTAGGAGATTTAAAGACCAGATCCTGCACCAATACTGAGGGTGTGACATTTAGGAGATTTAAAGACCAAATCCTGCACCAATACTGAGGGTGTGACATTTAGGAGAATTAAAGACCAGATCTTGCATCAATACTGAGGGTGTGACATTTAGGAGATTTAAAGACCAGATCCTGCACCAATACTGAGGGTGTGACATTTAGGAGATTTAAAGACCAGATCCTACACCAATACTGAGGGTGTGACATTTAGGAGATTTAAAGACCAAATCCTGCACCAATACTGAGGGTGTGACATTTAGGAGATTTAAAGACCAGATCCTGCACCAATACTGAGGGTGTGACATTTAGGAGATTTAAAGACCAGATCCTGCACCAATACTGAGGGTGTGACATTTAGGAGATTTAAAGACCGGATCCTGCACCAATACTGAGGGTGTGACATTTAGGAGATTCAAAGACCAGATCCTACACCAATACTGAGGGTGTGACATTTAGGAGATTTAAAGACCAGATCCTGCACCAATACTGAGGGTGTGACATTTAGGAGATTTAAAGACCAGATCCTACACCAATACTGAGGGTGTGACATTTAGGAGATTTAAAGACCAGATCCTACACCAATACTGAGGGTGTGACATTTAGGAGATTTAAAGACCAGATCCTACACTTAACTAGGATTTTTCGTATATTAGTATTACTATATCAGTAAATATATATGTATATATAATTGTTATATAATTGTACAGCTACAAAATATATATATATCAACGCAGCCTAGCGGGTGGAACAATATATCACTAGATATATAATATGTACTTATATAATATACGTGCTCTCCAAAGCATACACGAAAAATTCACATCAGGAAATTGTAAAATTTTAAAGATCAAATAGAATTCGACTCCATCTATCTTCTTATACAATAATCATAATGCTTAATTTTGTCTACAATTTCAAATGACTTGAGTGAAGTAGAAATTAATTTATACTCTTCCAGTACCTGTAAAAAATCTGACCAGCAGCATCCATCCAAATAAAAGGATCCAGCAGTTTCTCAAAATCGGGTGTGAAAAACACTTTAATACCATTACCTGACGAAGAGTATGTGAAAAACACTAATATTTCTAGCAGTATTATACTAGAGTATTTCCAGCAGTATTATACTAGAGTCATTGAAATGATCATCAAATCAAACTTCAGAAGGGAGGACTGTTAACTGGCTTAGAAAAAGTGAATCAATTGATATCTAGTCCACCCCTTGTCCCATTCACTCTGGCGACTAGTTCCCTTGTCCCATTCGCTCTGGCGACTAGTTCCCTTGTCCCATTCGCTCTGGCGACTAGTTCCCTTGTCCCATTCGCTCTGGCGACAAGTTTCCTTGTCCCATTCGCTCTGGCGACTAGTTCCCTTGTCCCATTCGCTCTGGCGACTAGTTCCCTTGTCCCATTCGCTCTGGCGACTAGTTCCCTTGTCCCATTCGCTCTGGCGACTAGTTCCCTTGTCCCATTCGCTCTGGCGACTAGTTTCCTTGTCCCATTCGCTCTGGCGACTAGTTTCCTTGTCCCATTCGCTCTGGCGACTAGTTCCCTTGTCCAATTCGCTCTGGCGACTAGTTCCCTTGTCCCATTCGCTCTGGCGACTAGTTCCCTTGTCCCATTCGCTCTGGCGACAAGTTTCCTTGTCCCATTCGCTCTGGCGACTAGTTCCCTTGTCCCATTCGCTCTGGCGACTAGTTCCCTTGTCCCATTCGCTCTGGCGACTAGTTCCCTTGTCCCATTCGCTCTGGCGACTAGTTCCCTTGTCCCATTCGCTCTGGCGACTAGTTTCCTTGTCCCATTCGCTCTGGCGACTAGTTTCCTTGTCCCATTCGCTCTGGCGACTAGTTCCCTTGTCCAATTCGCTCTGGCGACTAGTTCCCTTGTCCCATTCGCTCTGGCGACTAGTTCCCTTGTCCCTACCTGCTCCTTCCAGAGTGACACCTCTGATGAACAGTGCTATGAGTACTACGTAAGGGAATGTAGCTGTGAAGTACGCTGCTTTACCACTCGACTGTATACCCTGTTGATATCATTTAACTCAACAACACTGACGCAAAGTTGAGAACAAGCTAGGTAGTCAGCTGTTCTGTAAAATCTTTATCATGATCATAATTGTCATGTCAATTGTATTTTATAATTGTTTTATCGTGACTGATGTAAGAGAAATTAAACTGACAGTAATTTGATACCTTAAACAAACACATGTAAGTAAGGACCCATCCAATGAACCAACAGCCAGCTATTGCCGGGATAAACTCTCCCGTATCATCAATACTTGGGGTCGCTTGAAGGCTTGATTCGTACCACAGGTGCCTAATAATACAACCTGGATTAGTTTGACTGTCTACTGGAAAGGAGACGTATATATTCGGAAAGGAGACTTAGATATTCGTCTTGAAATTAACAGGACAAATTAGGAACGCAGGTTGCCGACTGATCTTAGAACAGTCAGTCAATTCGAGCGGTTTAATTTAAAAGTAATTCCTGAAACTTGACCATTTGAATTCAATAAGATTTTCTTGTGCTAAATGTTCAGTGCTGGTCCATTACCTTAACCTCTTAACATTGTACTGAAATACATAATACAATTTACTCACGCGGCAGAGTCGTTCATACAACACATATCGTTTTTATCCGCACACTCTTGCCACGGAAGGGGACTCTGGTGAATATTTTTAATATTAATATTAATATTAATATTAATATTAATGATATAATATAATTTTATTATGCATAAAATTGTTTAATTGATACTGTCGGATCGCCTTTTATCTTGAAGCTAATGATTACTTATAATGATACAAAAAAATCGATATAACAACTTGTTTTTCAGATTATTCTGAGCTAAAATGTTATTACAACAATTCTTAACCAAATTGGTTAATTAAAAATAAAAAGCGATATTTTTTTCGAAAGTGGGAATGGTAACATTTAAAAAAACATATTTCATCTGCCGATGCCCGGGAATAATCATAAACAATTGTTGCATGTCCCCTTAAGAGAGATCTTACCGAGAATGACAAGTAGAAATAGTACATACACCAGGTCATCACCATAGGAAAATAGGCTGTCATTTGTAAACAAACGATTAACTGGCCTATACCAATACCCTGCAGAAAGTTTCGTGAACTACTGTGATGAAGTAATTGTTGTGATTAAATAACTGTCATAAAACAGACTGCTTGCATTCTGTACCAGTACAACAGATTTATCAGTAGTCAATGACTAGACAGGGTTATTGAAAATTACAAAGAATAAAATGGCGTCTGGACTTGGGACCAGCTCATAGTACATTTCATTAATGCCCTCTGAAAACCATTCTGCTAGCTCAAAATATTTGTTATATAGTAGTGTTGAAAGTATTAATTTATTAATACTTAATAGTATTTATCTCTCAGTTCATACAGAGGATCAATAACTCATGTTCTTACCTTAAAGTAAGGTCGAATACTTGTCCATATTTTTATAAATCCCATTTGCATTTTCTGGCCTAAAGCCAGTTCTAGATAGAACAGAGGTAGCCCTTCAACCAATAACATGATCGCATACGGAAGGAGAAAAGCTCCGCCTCCATTTTTCTGTGCTAGATATGGAAACCTGAAAGAAAATAAAATTTCGGATAAGTAAACCTCCTATATAAGTAAACCTCCTATAACCTCCTAACTATAAACTTAAAGGGGAAGTTGGTCGTTTAGCTCCGGACAGTCTATGCACGGTCCCTGCACGGTCCCTGCAAATGAACACTTGATGCACTACTACAAACTTAAAGTTAAACTACTATAGTGTATAGGCAGAAAAAACTTGAACCTAAAATTGTTCCAAAAATAATTTAAGAGGTCATTAGTATCATCAACGATATAAAACGTGTATGAACTTTGTGAGATCCAAACATTCCCTTAAAGGGCTTAAAAGCCACAACAAACCACAACACCAATGACCAACGACCAGACGTGGGCGCCGCCGCCGGTACGCCGCCGCCGCCGATAAATTCGACACGCCGCCGCCGCCGATAAATTTCGATCGGCGCGCCGAATGTCAAATTTAACATCAGTTGTGCCGTTATCGTAGCCAAATATCTGCTTGTTGCTGAACAGAGTATAAATAGTTGCTCTTTCAAATCGTCATTCAATTTTGAAATGAACCTTAGCATACAAAGTGTACATTAGCTTATAAGATGTCAGTCAGTGGTACAATGACTATGTTGCCAAAAAATTGGTTCCAGCCGCCGATACGCCGCCGAGTGAAATACGGCCTCACGCCGCCGCTGCAGCATTTTCGGCGGCGCCCACGTCTGCCAACGACCTAACCAAGTACCGACCTCCAAACGTTGCCAGTACCCACAGCAAAACCAATAGCAGCCAGTAGGAACTCCATGTGGTTACCCCATCTCTCTCGGGGCTTTCCCTCCTCTTCTTCCTCTTTCTTCTCTAACTCGGTCTCCTCTTCTTCCTCTTTCTTCTCTAACTCGGCCTAGAGAGGAGTATGTAGAGTGAGAAATTAAGAACTGAGAGAGTGTTTCTAGGATTATAGTGTAATGATGTTTTCTGATTTGAAGTTACCGGTTACGATTTCCCGTATTCACTATTCATGGCGTTGAGGGACGAAAATTTATCGTGATTTTAGGCAAATATTCGCGCAAAGGTAAACGTATAAATAAAGGAAATTGCGGAAAAATTTAAATCTCACGGGGTATCCAGTATCCACCGGTTAAATTTCAAATGAAATGTTACAAAATGCCGAGGCAGTGGAATAGTCAAAGTTCTAATTCCGAATATATATTCATAAGTTATGAAGTCTCCAGACATGTTTACCATTTGCATCGGAGTATCTCCATTTTCCCGGAGTTGTCCCGAATTTTGTAATACAACCATAAACTGAAACGATTCCTTGCTGTGTTGCGGCAAAGTATAAGGAACTTAACTATGGGCTGGTTTTGCAACTATCCATTCGTTTGAAATAAAAAATAAAAGAATTCGTAAGCAAAAAATCGGATTTATTAAACATACATTTTAAAACATCGATTGAGATGCTTGTTGAGCTTGATAATTTAAAAAAATTAATAAAAGAATTTTGATGATATGATAAGAAATGTCAATAACGTAAGAAATGGTAATAAGAATTGTTGATACGAAATATTAATAATGTTGAAGAAAACTTCAAAGATAGAGACTTGGCCATGAAAAGAAGTCCAGCCTTTTCTATTATGACAATTAGGAGAATTATTGATTTAACCGATAAATTTTAACTATATTAAAGTAATCTTCATTCAATCCTTAATTTTACTTTTAGAGCACAGTAAGCTCATTGTCTATCTTACTATATATATATAAAGCGAGACGATATATATATATATGGTTCCGTGCCATTTTACTGACACCATGGCATCAACTTTAACACGACTTTCCGCAAAAACCGTAAAAGATATACAACTGAAACTTTTTTGACTGGGTCAAATGCCTTAATGGCCTTCAAATCAGCATGAAAATATAAAAGGAGTTTTAGAGCCCAAAATTTGGACCCCCAAGTGGTGTCAAAAACGCGAATTAAATAGGTAATAATTATTTTAGTCTCTTGAGTCTTGACACCACTTTAGGGTTAGACGGGTTCCTGCTAGTAAATCTATTATTAAACATCGCTTAATTTAAGTCGATATTAATTTCTGTCCTAAAAGTATCAAATCTTTTAGATTTTAATACATAAAGAATGTAATGAATGTAGCACTAGCATGATTATCTTCGGGCACTGTAATAATTTAAATTGATCTACTAAATATCATTGTGGTTTGCAGCAATCTGGACTCTGGTTCATGCATAATTTACACGACCAAGGTGTGCATATCAAATAGAATTACTAGCATATTTAAAATTTTAATCTAAATTCGATAAGATTATAATTTTTATGCTCTGCAGATCAGCGTCACGATCGTAATTTGTATGGTAATTTATTCGGTGTTTCAGATCCCTCTGCTCGGCGTAAGCGTCGGAGACATGTTTGAGGAGATTCAGTTATGTTTGAGGAGAAATTGGACTGAAACCAGCAATGGAGCTCAGTATATAGAGTTGGCAAGTCGAAGGAGAAAACTACTCGGCCAGTCAAGGTTACTCTGTCCAGTTCCAGTACAGCCTATCAAATACTCAGTCAAGCTCGAAAGCTGCGACAATCAGAGAAGTTCGGCTCAGTCTTCATTAGTCCAGACCGCTCTTTGGAAGTTTGAAGGATCGAGTTAAGCACAGACTTCTTGTTCAAAACTTGCATAAGAAGAAAAACGCCGAGCCAAACAAGCACCACTACATCAAAGGAGGGAGAAGTCATACTGAAGACAAATCAGTGAGATGAGTGTGGCTTTTAGTTTTACTAGAGTGTATTTTTACAATAAATGTCTTGCTATTATATTAGGGACGATAGTGTTTGTAAGAGGATGGGGACTTGTCCCGTTGTGATTAAAAATGTTGTTTGTTGAGTCATTCATTCTGGCCGTTGGGGCATACAAAACTTTAAAATTTCGCGATATTTGTTAGATGAGGTTTAAATTCCATCGTAAAGTTGCTGATCTACACAGTGTGGCATTTTCTTATTAAGAGTGCAGTGCCCTTGTGAGGGATTATTACTATTTTTATTATATATTTGTTAAGATTAAAATTGGTCATTAGAACCACCCGGGCACCGTTTCGGTTAACAATTAATTTTTTTGTATAATTTATGATATAATATGAAATTCAACTCAATATACCTTCTTGCTGTTTTCCTGTGGGACTAACTGATAGGATGCCATCCAGAGAGACGCCGAGTAGTTTCAGGTCAGTTTCAGGTCTTGTTAGTCCTGTGTAGCCATTTTCTAGCTGCAAGTAAGATTTTCACATAGCCATGTGTATATATACGCGTATATTATATACGCGTACTATACTGCGTGACGCGCATGTTTCGCGCGCTACTGCAAGCGAGAGGGCTCTGGTTAGAGCAAAGTAAGATTCAATTGATTCAATTGACTGCACCAAAGATTGTTATCAAAGTTATTCAGTTATAGTGAGCTTATATATTAATATTATTATTATATTAAGAGGAAGTAAGTGCCGAATTGGACGATTCTTCTTTATCAACAAAGATGATGATCTATACTAATAATCTCAATAAATGTGTCTGTCTGTAATTTACGAATAGTTGAATCAAGAAAACGGTAAGAGATATGGGACTGGTTTTTTCGGTATAGTGCCGAATAAACTCTGACGAAGTCAAATGATTAAGGGTTTTCAAATCGGTCGGTAAGTGATTTATTTGATAATTTTGTGACCCAAATGTGATACTAAAAGTGTTTCACGTACACTCCTTCTCTCCCACTCTAGCTCTCTCTTCCCCCAAAACAGATTTGCTATATAATTAGGTAGTTTGGCAGGGGACCCCAAGATTGGCTATCAAGTATTACTATTAGATACGTGAGGGGCATACAGAATTAAATTGCGGTGTGTTTGGACTGAGCGAGTTTTAACTACGAAAATGTGATGCATTTTTTTAGAATATAATAGGCGGCCGCGGGTTTATACTTTTGCATTTCAACTGCAATAGTGAAGTCCCGGGCGTAGGCACGGGTTACACTAGTTATAAGATAATAATAATAAGAACTGGCTGAAAATCATGTGAAACTGAGAAGTGCCAAAAACATTTTTTGGAGAATGTGGCCTTTTATAGTTATACTATGATAATTCTGTCGAAAACAGAGATACAAATGAAATAAAATTTGCGAGAATGAGAGATATAGTGCTATTAGTATTTTCATTATTCACCTCTACAATTACAAGCAATTGAATTAAAAGCTCAAGTCTCGAACTTTGGGAGCAAAGTACAAAATGTATGACTAACGAAACAATTAGCAATAAACAATTAGCAATAAACAACAATTATCACAATAAATAGAGAAATACTGAATCATAACGTCTGCAGCTTTGTGTTCGCAATGAATATGATCTTAACCGAATAGTACCGCTCTCTCCTCAAGCTGAGTATAAAAAGGGGTGACTGACAACTGAACCCAATTGAACCTAGTTCCCACGCAGTTAACAGGCACCCAATCAGCTAAAGTCTTGATCACGTGCCATAGTACTGAATCACGTGATGCAAGTGTTATGTGTTACTTCCCTAAGGGTGGGGCTTGAAACTATACCACGGTTAATCAGCAATATGTCTATGAATCTTATTAGGAAGTGTTAGGTTACGAGTAACGACGTGAACTGCACTGCTTGCTAATAAGCAACAATTATATAGACCCTTCGAAGACTGACGGACAACTTCACCCAATTAACTAATAAATTTAAAAACTTTTAGCTGCGCGGGAGCTCTGTTTCTAATTCATGTGCGATGTTATCGGTTGAAACATAAGGCCCACGGTAATACTAATATTAATAAGCCATAAGAGATGTATAATGTAGGTACACATTACACATTATGAATAATCAATCGGACACTCATCAAAACATAGCAAGAAGCAAGAAGCTACCACGTGTGAAACCGAGATATAGAGCTTATAGTTATAGTTATATCAGTGCAGAAACTATGTATCGTTTCAATATAATATAGAATAATTTCAACATAGAATAATACTACATACACAGTAATGTGATTCAACATCCTGAATATCCTTTGCGAGATTTACAATCCCCATGATGGCATTCTGTAAATAGAATTAATAGATTATGTTATATTTTAACACAGATTTTACACAAAATTGTGATTCCACTTATGAAATTGCACGAACAGGGATAAAAATGTAACATTTCTGCAGCAGTGATGGCAATACAATGAAAGCATATTAGGGGTCGGGTAACAAATAATAGTTATGAACAGTAGCTGGTAAAATGGTATGCAGTCATGAAACTCAATTATATTCAGATAAAAATAGGCGTCGAAATTTCACTATAACGATTAATGATATAGTTTCTGTCTGCGTAAACCCGTTTCATAAATAAAAAAAAGCTTAGGGGCTTTTTAACTTAGTATAGGGGCCAACTTACAGTCAACTATAGATGGCAAATGACACGATTGGGTGCTGGAAGTTTGATTTGGGTCGGAGGAAGCTTACAACAGACAGTTTGGACGAAATTTTTGCCCACAAACCAATAACTCAATTAAATGATGATGGTATCATACCAAATTAGAGTGCTGGAAGTCAAAATCTCGAAATATTACACTGTCCCATACTCTGTCCCATTTTCAGTTTTTGAAGCTGAAATTTCCAGGGCCGAAATTTTACAGTTTCTACCGAATTTCTGATCTGCAACCAATTAGTCAGTCAACTATAGATGGCAAATGACACGATTGGGGTGCTGGAAGTTTGATTTGGGTCGGAGGAAGCTCACAGCAGAAATCTTAACAAAACGAAACGTTGTATTTTCAAAACTCTGTCCCATTTTCAGATATGAAATTTTCTGAACACACATTTGACAGTTTGGATGAAATTTTTGTCCACAAACTAATTAGTCAGTTAATTGATGATGGTATGATACCAAATTGGAGTGCTGGAAGTCAAAATCTCGAAAAAAATTGGAAAATCATAATGTCCCATACTCTGTCTCATTTTCAGTTTTTGAAGCAGAAATTTCCAGGGCCGAAATTTTACAGTTTTTACCGAATTTCTGATCTGCAACCAATTAGTCAGTCAACTATAGATGGCAAATGACACGATTGGGGTGCTGGAAGTTTGATTTGGGTCGGAGGAAGCTCACAGCAGAAATCTTAACAAAACGAAACGTTGTATTTTCAAAACTCTGTCCCATTTTCAGATATGACATTTTCTGAACACACATTTGACAGTTTGGATGAAATTTTTGTCCACAAACTAATTACTCAGTTAATTGATGATGGTATGATACCAAATTGGAGTGCTGGACGTCAAAATCTCGAAAAAATTGGAAAATCATAATGTCCCATACTCTGTCCCATTTTCAGTTTT